AATAGATCAATTCCCGAATACTGTAGCGTTGAACATGCAAGTTTCCCTTTCTGCGTATCGATCATCTTCTGATTATTGCATAATCGTTAATTCACTCTTGAGTCCGAATTATTTGAACGGTTAAGAAATCTGCAAAATGGTGTGTTTTTGACGGATGCATCGATAATTTCCGAGAATATGAACATCCCTCACAATAAGCTAGAAATGCTGGAGTTCATGAACGATCGCACTGAGTGCTCTCTGAAAGAATTGATGTACGAACAGATGTCAAGACATCAATTCAGACGAGCGCATGTGTGCGTATATTTGTGCGAAAAAAAGCAGTTCATTCGAAAAAGTTCCCTGAATGATCCGATTATCATTAATCACATCCGTTCACACCACTGATTTTCATTGTTGCTTTCGTTCTTTCCACACGCATCGAGATTCAATACTGAGATTTCGCGTTTGAAAAGATTGAGCAAACGAATTGGATTACATTTATTCTCTGAATATTAGCAAACAAACGAAAATTAATCAGTATCATAAAGCATCATGATGATTCACATAAGATCAATAAATAAACATGAGGAGAAAACAAGCAGAAAATGTTGTCGACTAGTCGTCTCGTTCACAGGACCTAATCAAGTTCATGTGTCACTTAATATAAGGCACATCTATCCACTCTGTTTCATTTCATTCAATTCAGGTACCCAATTAACCTATGAGTCAGTGTTATGTACAGCTATGTCATTGCTGTTAATATTTCTCACCGAGGTATCAGCAATAGATTTCGTCAGCACTTCATCATTAATTTCGTTTGAAGATTGCAATACTCGAAAGTTCTTCTTACAATTAGCATTCAAATAAATACATAGCAATAAGTAGCATTCAAATAGAATTGGTNTCGAAAGTTCTTCTTACAATTAGCATTCAAATAAATACATAGCAATAAGTAGCATTCAAATAGAATTGGTAATTATTCACTTACTTTATAATATTCAAAGTCAATACATACATCAAATTTCATTCATTTATTTACATTTTCATTGATTGATCGAACATAAGTCTTCTTCGATCACATCATCAGTGTTAACGTACGAAACAAATCATTACGAAACGCAAGTATTGCGAATTTAACTCTTCACATAAACAATGAACTTACAAAGAAATCGACAACGAGAAAGGCGAAAAAAAAAAGTTAATGACTGAGACCATATTTATTTGGGTTCGTGTTCATTCGTTGAGAACAAGCTCATTTTAAGTAATCACTTCACGTGGGGCAGCTAGTATTGTGGAGAAAACCTGAAAAACGTACGATTCGAAATTACGCGAATATCTTTCGAAAGAATGATTTTTTGCACGAAATGCGCTTAATGAAGCATTGTTGGAGGATTGGGCATTCAGAGGAAATCTGACTTTGAGAGCAGCTCCATAGTGAGCTTATTTGTTTGGGTTCGTATGTGGATTCGTGCTCATCTACATGAAACAACGATAGTTGTTCCGGTTCATGCTGGCAAATTCCATGTCCTTGCTCTTCGGGCAGACATCATTGGNGATGATCAACTGCGTATTTGTATCAATTTTGGAAGTATTGCGGATGCTGGGAGGTATTTGCATTCGATAATCGTAACATTCTGCAATTTTGTGCTGCTACAAGAAAGTTTCCCCAAAAGCATCGGACCCAATGCATTATTGCGTATTTTAGAGGAGTTGGTTGAAAGTAATACAGCGAAATTACAAATCTAACAGGATTGGTCATGACAAATATCGTTGCATACACCACTTACATAATCCAAAGATCAGGGTGTGTGTGTATGAAACATTTCAGGTTCACTTAAACAATGAAAAGAACGTGACGAAGAAATTATCAACAACGTAGTATTTACATCGAATCATCAGAGGATCTGCAGCAATGCTTTGAATGTGAAAAAGTGCGACAGATGGAACATCGATGGAAAGCACAAGAAGCGCAAATCGAATGCGGATTGGGTATATCTATTCTGGTTTTGCAGTCGATAATGGGAGCATTCAGTTTTGTGCTACCCTAGAGTCACTACAAAAACAACGAACGCAATACATTATTGCCTATTTTGAGAGCTTGGAAGACGACGATGGACCTGAGATTGTTCCCAGAATATTCTAATTCTCGCACACAATTCATCGTTGTTTGAGGTAAAACAGCTGGCAAATTCCAGGTTTCCGGAACCAAAAAATGTAGTGAATGAGCTTAAAATTGACTAGGACATTAATTGGATCATTAATTACTAAATTGATGGCGGCAGTCCATATGCATGAAGTTGGTGATTTCGACACAGCAGTATTTAGTTTCTTGAACAGATCTCTATGCCCACAAAGTTGGAGGTGTTACGAGCATGGCACGGAACGGGTGGGAGTTGGTTGTTGAACATCCATCGTTGTTATACAATTCAAAAAATGGAACACGAAAACAGACAGCAACAATAACAATAACAACAATATAAAGTGGACACAACGCAGTGGATTTTCATTTTTTCCTTTTCGATCCGCTTTGACCCGTTAGAATTCGGATCGCATTAACAAGCTCTACAGAGATTTGGACAATTCTCGAGGATCTAACGAACTCACAGGCTGCATACCTGGGCGGATCTACTGGAATATTCGTATAAGAATTTTCAGTAATATTAGCTGAGATTTTCAGAAGAAATTCTCTAAAAGGTTGTTATGTAGGGGATGAACGAGAAAATTCCTCGCCAAGCATCGTAATTCACCAACGATGGACCCGTGCGTAGCAGCTGTGTGATTTTAAGAGCTTGAAAATGCGGCGAACATATGAAAAGTATACACTGCAAATGATCGCCAATGCAACCATGCAGTAAGGTTTTGAAAAACGAAAAAACAAAGCACAAAATTTGGTAAAGCTGATGATATCCTTCTGTAAACATATAAATAAAGTTTAAAAAGCAGAAAGAAAGTTGTACAACACTCCCATTTTGATCCACTCACTCTTCATTTGGTTTGCTTTCTTCACTACTTGAAGCCAGTAATAGAAACAGAACACAAATTGTTTATCCTTTGCACGATAAGTTGCTTGTCGAACACCAAATCCTGATAAATTTGGGTTAAAAAAGTGACGAGAAATCAATCGCCCCTTTGTTAACGAATCTAATTCGTTGATTTTTGAATTCTTAAAGAAGCTGAGAAATATATCACAGTGACTGAAAAAACTACCAAGCACACCTAAGAAACTGGATTGTAATTTGAACAAAACATCCAACAATGACAGCTCACTGATGAGACCTAAGGTTGTTTTAGGCCGCAATTTGAAGCACCGAGCTATTTTGTGCACATTTTTTTGGACTGTCATAATTTCGCTCTGCTTTTTGCTATCTGAAGTTTTGTTCTTCTTCTCCGTCGTGTCGTATGCTGATTCAGTATGGTGTATGTGAGCAGCAGTAACACTCATTCTTGCTTCGGCATAAATGCGTAGAGTTTCTCGAAGAGTTGTAAATTTGCACCAAAAGACCGCTTAATTTTTGGTGCATTCGGCCATAAATTGTAATCTGAGCAATACAGCAATCGCATCAATTTGTAGTAGTGGATCATCTTCTCTTCTCGCCACAGTGGACAATTCCTTAAAAAAATCGCTTAATTTGAAGCTTAGCATATCAAAAGTTTGCAAATTTTTGAGTTTGCTTTCATCATTGCTTGAAAAATTGATAAATTCTAACACTAAGGAGAAGTGAACAAAGAAACGGTTGACGCAAACCAATCCGTTTGCTCTACTGAAATCGTTTGCTCACCATGTTCTTCAACCGAAACTGATATGCACTAATGTTGAACTAACTCCTAAGTTGTCGTAAATATTTTCGAACACGGCATCGGGATAGATTCTAGTACAACAAGACGCAGGAAAAAATAAGCTTTCATATTTCATCATCTAATGGAAGGATTTTCTCATATCAAGCAAGCAAAAACGATCATATCCATGTAATACCTGAACATTTCATCACGCGCCTCCAAATCCGGCGTGCAGTATGCTCTTAATTGTGTGTTGTATTGTTTAAGTCTTCTTGACAGATTGCGTTTATCGCTATCCATAATTGCTATGATATCTGGTGTGAGTTTGTTTCGGTTCAAGTAACACCTCTCCACCGGTACCTCCACTGGTTCTTCTTCTTCCTGAATTTGACGAAAAGAAATTCAGAAAGCGCAGTAACACCCAACCATCAGGTAAATCCTCTGATAGCTTAGATTGGCAGCTGGAGTGGTTGACNATAGCAGGTATATTTCATTGGTAAATAAGAGGTTAACGAGTTTGTTGTGCCTTCTCAGACTGGGGTTAAGGCTTGCTAAATGCAAATTGATCATCATCATCATCCATCTGTTGAATGTGAGCAAAACGAAGCAAACAACTTTATAGTTCGTTGGGCAGTTGCTGTGATAATTGCTTGCTGAGAACATTTATTTTCTGAACGACACTCATTCATTTTGACGGATGTAAAAATGAGCAGTTGTTTGAGCGTCTTGAACTCTCTCAATCCCACTGACTATCACCATAGGTACCATCAAAATTTGATTACTTTCATAGAGAACTGATCATCTTCTTGCATTGTCAAAAATCATAGGCAGCAAATGTGATCAATATTTTTCTTACCAGTTTCTTAAATGTTATATTGCGTATTGCAAAAACAGTTTCCTATGGATCTTTTACGACGAAAAAGTGCTACTTTAATTCAAACATTTACTCGAATTTGTTTGTGAAACATGTGATTAAGGAGAAGAAACTCAGTGAACGGAAAGGAACTTGAAGAATCACCAGCATTCGATGGAATTTACATTTGTTATCTCATGGAAATCTTACGCGA